CAACAGTGTGTTTTGCTGCAGCAGCGCCGATGGAAGCGGTTCACTGACTGCGCAGCACAGCCACACGCGCCACAGTTACGTTTGGGATCATTTTATTTTAAATGCCATAATGTCAGTTGAAAACATTGCAATTGTGTTTTAAAATACAACAACGAGCACCACGAAACCATTTAAAGAGGTGCGTTCAGCGGTCTCCGTGACGGGATAGGAAACAGTCAACAAAGTAAAATGATCTCAAACGAGCTCTCTTCATTTTATCAAATGATCATAATCACATCTATTCATTTTACAATCCTGCTAGCATTTTATTCAGACTAAATCCCCTTTAAATCGGGTGAGAAAGCGGGGGGTTTTTTTGAGTAACTTTTGCACATCCTGTCATGCCGGGCTGCATAGACGCATTTTGCAGCATTAAGGTTAACGATTAATCGATTAATTGATTGTTAATTTAAACGACGATCGATCATGGAAATGATCGAAAATTGACATCCCTAATTGTAATACAATTAAATTATTTGCAAATAATGTTTTTATTTTAAATTCAATTTTATTTTAGCCCATTCAATTTTAATCTTATGTCTAATTCGTTGAAAACAGTTCTGTTAATGTTTCTAGCAACCCTCTACAATGCGAGTAAATCAATCACATATGCGAATAAATTTCCATTTTTGCTAGGCGGCCAAATAATGTCTATCGTCAACCATTGGCTAATAAATATTACTAATAGAATAGTAGTAGTAGAATTAGCAGTAGTATTATAATATTCAGTATTATTGTTAGTTACAGAAAAACTGAATGACCAACAATATCTCAAGCACCACCACCAGTCCTGAGTTCATTTAAAATGACAAATATGCATTCATGCATTTTCATTTATACATGGTATATTAGGGATGCATGATATTATCGGACTGATATCGAAATCGGCCGATTCATTATTACATATGTTATAGACGGTTTCAACGGCAACAACATAAACAAACGTTACTGCGCATGCTCGCTTTTGTGGCCCTAACTTAACTTCCGGTAGACTTCCAAATAGAATCAATAACAACAGCTAAGTAGTCCCTCTAGAGTAGATTATTTTTGATAACAAGCAAAATAAGTTTGCTCGCGGATTATCCGCAGCGCCCGTGGATATAGGAAAAGCAATATATGTTTGCTGCGTAAATCAGACGATTTACTGAAAATGCTAATTCATTCTCTGCCAGCAGGAGGTGCTTTAAAGCGGGAGAAACAGAGGTTTCCCCAGTAACGGCTGTACACAAAGCAGCACTGAGCTCACAAACGCTGCTTTATCAGGCATATAACATGCGAGATGAAATGAAAATGACATCGAAAATTTTCTAAAGATAGTCTTCCTTCAGAAATACAGTGATATAAAAACACCTACGCCTCGTTTTGATTTTTAAACTTGCAGTACGTGCTCATGATTATTCAATGAATCCTTTTGGAAAATCGGTCAGTTTTGATATTGTGGCGAGCGCCACAAATAAATGTATGGGAAATACATCCCACAGCACAGCCACCTGAGGCCAACTTCAGTCTACTCATCACCTTAACTTGAACTGCGTTTGTAGCCGGCGTCATAGCCAGACTGATAAACAAACACAGACCGGAAGTTAACTTCGGGCCAGGCGCGTGCGCCCATTGAAACAGTCTATATAAAGCTTGAAGCATCAGAATCGGTGTCGGATGACAAGAAATCGGTACTCAGTATCGGCTGCAAAAATCCTGATCGGAGCATCCCTAATAATAATAATAATAAGGAATAATTGCTCCGTTCAAACATAATGAGGAGGAGATGCGAAAGACGAATCAACTTGGTGTTCGCGCGCCATCTGAAAGTGTCTCTCTGTGTGTGCGCGCGCTTTGCACGTGTGCGGCAGAATGGAAGATACGCTGTGCGAGATGCGGCTTGTGCGCGCGCTTCATGTGTGAGTCAGGACAGCAAGACGAGACAGCAAAGAGTTGTTTTCTGCAACTTATTGCACTTAACTCTTTTTAACGTCAAGCAATTCTCTGCTTGACGTTAAAGGGAAATTTAGGGAAAATTTCCCTTGTGATTTGAATGTGTTTAAAAGTGCAGTGTGCGAGTTCTGTGCCTCTAGTGGCACCTAGCAGAATTGCAAAATAATGGCTTCTTTCAAAAAAGTTTCTCAAACTCTCCCCCCTTCTGCAGTTGGTCAGACAAATGGATAGTCCCACCCCAACCTTACGCTGTTGGTTGAGCAAGTATTGCTATGTCATACTGGTCAGGGTACTGTCCCACTTTATATTAAGTGTCCCTAATACCTGTGTATTTACATAGATGTGTACGTAGTATGTAACCACAGTGTAAGTACACATTGGTACATAGTATCTAGAGCTGTAATATTTCTGTAACTACACACATGTAACAACCCTCCGAATGGTTTGTGTAAGTACAAATTTGTAACAGGACATATATAACTACATTTTGTAACAACAATATGTATAAGAGTAATTGGAACAATTTGATCCAGGGGGAGGAGATGGGTAGGTTTAGGGGTGGAAATGGGATCCAGGGGGTGGAAATGGGTAGGTTTAGGTAGGGCTGGGCGTTGTACCTAAAAAATGAATCAACGATATAATATTTCATATCGTTCGGTATCGATAATTATTGACAATTTTATAACCTTTTTTAAAACAGAGCAATATAAAAAAATGTTTACATTTAACAACTGTATTTTTAAATTAACTTAATTTATTGAGACAAACAACAAATTTTTGTGTTTGTTTTAACAGTCAAACACAAAATAAAAATTAAACATATCTCATGTATGACTTAAAATGACATTCAAGTGACAATTCCGTCAACTGCCATGAGAGTACCGCAGTACCTACCGTGGGTGGTTTATCGCGTTTTTTCGGTTCGGTTTGAATATCATTACACCCCTTAGTGAGCCATGGTAGCAGAGTTGGGTTTAGCTGTTTTTAGCATGATCTGTGATACTATGGAAGAACAATGAATTTTAATTGGCAAATATAAAGTAGAATCAAGGGCTGAATCAGTCCCAGCGCAGTATCACTTGCAGAACATTTTAAAATTTCCCTATAAAAGCTTTTTTTTTTTTACACTTCTTACAGATGTTACTGTTATTATGAATGTACATCTGCATCAAATAATCTAATGCTACTGTATTTCACAAGTAAGTGCAGTTACTAATAATAATACACTGTAGTAATCAATCAATCCAGAAGGGGATGCGCATGGTAATGCAACGCTATCCGTCACAACAGGAAAGAGCAGAAGAAGAGACAATCTACGCACCAACCCAAAACAAGAACAACGGGTTCAGATGGCACGCAACAGCTCAAAGAACTGCCTGTTTGTTTTAAATCAGCAGCGTGGGAAAGTTTCAGGTTCTAGATGCACTGGTCGACCAGCTATAAATCGGAGCCCGTTTTTAGTTTTAATTTAGCCAATCTCTATTCCAGAATTGCACACAAACTGGATTGCAATCATTTCCCAAAATGTAATTTGTGTGGAATTTGTCAGTTTTTTTATGAAGTCTGTAAAGAGGAGAAAATACTGTACCAGGCAGATCAAGCTCACAAGCTCAATTTTGATGCTTAAATTATTGGAAGACAAATTTGTGGGGGTTTATTTTGAATGCATCTCTGAGAGGAACTGACTGTCTTCAAATGTTTCGATGGCATTTTCTTTTCCTCTTACCTCCATATAATGCATATTAAAGTAGTGTTTATAAGCGCAACTGCTTTGTTTACAGCGGTAACTAAGGAAACGCTATACCACTGCTGTTCCATAAGTGCAACCTGCTGTCAGAAAATACATTTTCATTCAGTCCGTCTGCTGATTTTGTTTTGTGCAGGTGTCTTATGTAACAATTTATTTATGTAAATCAGACCATTCTGTTTTTGCTTTAAATCTTGAAATTATACAATCTAATAGGGGTGTGAACTAGGGATGTGCGGCTCTAGTCGACTAAACGGTACAGCTCCTACTAGTCGACACTGAAAACAATAATCGATTACGCGTCAAAAAAAAACAACAACATCTAGTCGGATACAAAACTTTCGTTTAAACGTCAGTCAAATTAGTCGTCGCGCACATCCCTAGTGTGAACCTACACTGGTCTCACGGTTCGGTTTGGTTATGATTATCATGTCATCGATTCGGTTCAGTTCGATATCACGATGCATCACAATGCATTGACGATGCACTGCATCCTCAATTTTCAATTTTACTTCACATGTATTAAATTTGGTCAATAAATACAAGCAGTCAGATATATGATCTATACGTGGTTTCTCAAGTTAGTGGTATTACCCCCTGCATATTTTATTGTGCGTGACATGATTTACACACAGCGTGTGTCTTCTCCAGGTCGTGCTTACCAGGTTGTTCATAAAAGCCGAAATGTGCCCAGATGTCGGCTTTTAAAGTAGTTGGAGCATTTTTAATTACTCACACTCGCGTCTCGCCTCCCTCCGCCATTTGGCGCGTTCGATTTGAAGTGGCACTGCGCAGAATGATCGGTGTATTGTATGACATA